GATTTGGGAGGGGGTGATGGAAAAGGGGGTTAAACCACTTACTGTAAGCGTAAACTTGCTACCTTCACAGCAGTTTTCTGAAAGGCTGTATATTGGATACTTGCTGCAGTGGAGTCTGCTGGCAATATATAATTTGTTTACTAAAAAGGGAATGTAATTGAAATGTCCCTTTTGAGTTAATGAAAATATAAAACAGCTTTCCAGAGTAGACTGAGGCCTCTAATTTAATTATCTGTGAGCCTCACAGATTAAAAGTATTCTTTCATCCGTTCCTGGCAGCCTGAAATAGATGAATAACTGAAATTCAAAGAAAAACCTTAAGAAAAGGAGACCTGGCAGATGAAAGAGCAAAGGGCCAAACCGTTTGTAAAAGGGTTTATCTCTACAGAGATGCCCATTGTCTTTACGGCAACTAATTGTATGTGAAAACTATTAAAGATTTGGAAGCTGTGATACCCATTAAAGGGGTCAGGGAGTCCCCATCACCTGCAGGAAAAACAAGCTCGGTCCTCTTTGAAATATTGTTTGCTATGTATCAGAGGAGTTAGTTACCCTTCAAGGGTACATTGCAAGCAGTGGTCTTAAGCACATGAGCAGTTGCCAGAAAGCCAGCAGGAGCAGTCGTACAGGTAGCGTTGAGCTTGCTACGTCATTATTTGCAGAGTCAGTCCTTCAGACTGCAGGTCTGGCCCTAAAGCAGAGCCTGGAGCGATGCTGCCCCACCGCTGCAAAAGCATCCAGAAGCAGCCAGAGCTCAGGCGCATCCTTGGTGCGGTGTCCTAACGCTTCCTAACCCTGCGTAAGCCATCTGCTTTCTGCATCAAAGCACTTTGGCTCTTGTAGCCAAAGGTTGATGGACAAGTCTCCATGTAGCTGCTGAAATACAGCAGCCATTCTTGCACAGTTTTGTCCACCTTCACACTTACGTCTGTTCCTGCTGTGTGTGTGTTGCAGCACCACTTGCAACCCCAGCAGAGGCCATGGTGTCCATATGGAAATGCAGAGCATTTAGACTGACTTTGCAGAGGAAGCCTATGGCCGAGCAAGATTTGAATGCAGGTCTCCTCTGGTGTCATCCCAGGCCCAGCCATCACGGTGTTACACGCAAAAAAAATCAGGTTTCATCCCTGCCATACATGAAATATTTTCTGAATTTGGAAAGGTAAACCAGAGAGGTGCATACAGAAAAAAGTGGGGTTTGCACTTCATGGGGTGAGTATGTGAGGAGCAAAGAGGTTTGCATGTAGCAAAAAGGATGCTTCACCGCACTTGGGTTTTTTTGTTAGAATATGTTCTCCCTTTTCAGCTTTGTACTTGAAGACTTTGATCTAGAGGCACAGTGTGTCTAGGGAAGAAAAAAACCAAGTTTGCTGCTGGTATAAACATTTACAGCTTCATTGACTTGAAGTGGAATTTCACCTGGGAGTATAAGCAGTGACCTCAGCTGAGATGAGCAGAGCATGGAGAGAGGGCACTGGTACTTGTTGCTTAGAGTTACCTGAACAGTGCCCAGAAGACCAGCAAAAAATTTGCTGATTTGTTTTATTGTGGTGGGAGGTTCGAGGAGTACTGATTTTTCTTTTCTCTAGTTCATCTAGATTTGATCTAACATTTTTGACTTTGAAAAAGAGTTGAGTTTGAAAAGTTTTTTAGAGTGGATGGTGATTTTATTTGTCTGCAACACAGATCAATGCACTTTGAATTGTACGTGCAAGTGGGAACTGGAGCGAAGAAACTGTAGCACAAGTGCCAGAATTCTGCAAAATTCTGGCTAAGAAGCTGGCCCTAACCATCGTCTACAATGGTGCCTCTAAAATCTATCTCAAATGATACTTAAATTTACTCTTAGAGAAGTATTTCATGTTATCTTTATGATATGTCAGATTTTAAAACGTTTAAAACTTGAAAAAATCCTTCACTTAGCTGCCTGTAAGCAGCATGGGTTTTGCTTCTGTTTTGTTATTTGCTATTATATTCATGCTTGGTACGACACTTGCTTGATCTGGATTAATTTCCCATGATGATTTGTTCTTAATGTGCCCTGTAGGCTAATGGTATATTTGCAGCCTCTCTTCTTCCTTTGTAAAATTTGCTATTATCATTTACGGGACAGTGTGTTCTCTTTGACACCCTCCAGAAATGCCAACTGCCTGTTGAACAGCACGGCATCAGCCGTTAAAGCCTGATCCAAACCCCAACAAAATCAGGGAACAGTAACGCAATTCAATGTTTTTAAGGCAAGGCAGTATCTTTTATTAGATCAGCTGTTACAGTTGGAAAAAAACAGACAAGCTTTCAGGCACACAAATCCTTCTTCAGGTCTGAAATAGCAGCAGTATTGCTTACACCAGCATTCCTTAGCAGTGAGACAGCTATGGTCCCAGCAAGGTTTAAAAAAATGTGTTTAAAAATGTGTGTATTGCATGGCCCTTCTTATTGGGGAGGGCTTTCTAGCAGGACGCAACCAAATATTGTTCTCCTCTCTCCCCTTCCCAGTATACACCGTACAAACAGGGGATACATCCTACAAGGAGGGGTAGCATAAGGTCACTTATACTTGAGAAAAAATCTTCAATACCTTATGACCAAGACACATCTTCTCCGTAGTCACCCTGCTATTGGGAAGGACTGGGGCAAAGCTGTGGGCTTTGCTGTACGGGTGGTGACAGCAGGATCCGTGCTGGAAATTCTGGCTCCTGATGCTTAGGGCTGTCCAGCAAATAGCTGTGGGACCAGCTAGCAAAATGAGGTTTATTCCCTTTCTTGTGGTTGCTTTACAGGGAAAAGTGTTTCCCAAATTTTCTGGAGTCACAGTTGACTGACCACCCACCTAATAACAAAGCTTGTGATTGAAAATGCTATACAAGCAGAAAAGCTGTGAGCAGTTTCCTGTAGTCTTTGGGTTGCTTGTGGTCACAGAATAGAAAAAAAAAAGAAGTAACAGCCTGGTATGCTGCCTGCTTACTCCTCCAGAGTATGGATCTGAACATCCTGCTTTTACATCCTATGATAGCCTTCATATTTATCTTCCTTTTTCTTTTCTGGAAATCTTCAGAAGTGTGTACTAAAATCTTTCGAATTAAAGAACACAGGCAGGTGCTCAAAAATTAAATGTTAACATTAACCGTAACATTTATTAAATGTTAACATTAACTGTAACATTTACTTCTATATTCCCATGCTAGGAACTGGGGTGTTAGCTGTAGTTAATAACTGAGGTATTAAGAAGCTGAGGATGCTTTTTGCTCGTATGAATATTCCTGTGGTACACGGGCTGCGAGAACTCTGGATTTTGCATTCTTTCTGAAGTGTATTAATAGGTGTGTTAATTATGCGGCTTCCCTATTCAGCCCTATTTGAAAGTGAAAGGTTGCATTTCAAGAAACTGTCACCACAAGAAAATTGTAAATAAGTATTGACGCTTCTGAAGAAATTAAAAGGATGAACCATTCATGACTTTTAAGTTGATTAACACACAGACATGAACAACCAATGAGCAAGTAATGTTGTAAACAGGAATATGATTACTGGAAAAGCTTAATTCAGAAGGAAAAATAACTCTTAAAAATTATGCAAGCCAAAAATCTTAGTTTAAGATCTGCTTTGGGCATTGGTGTTCCAGTGCAAAGCTATCTTACAGCTGTCTTTAAAGTCCTTAAAAGTTTAGAAATTTGTGGGATCCTGTCTTCATATAAGATACAAGCATTTCAAGTGTGGTTCTCAATCTGAATCCATCACTGAAGACACATCGTACTTAAGGATCTGAATCACCATTTCTGGCTGTGCCACTCCCAGCCTGGCCAACCTTTGATTGATCCCTTTTATATGTTTCTCCGCTCAGTGATGTGCCCAGTGACACATGCCCATGGCAGGTAGGCTGGCATCACCCATAAAACAGCCCAGACAACTGCTTCTCTTTTCCAGAGAAGGTTTTAATGGAGGAGTCATGTAGACAATCAGATTCTCTGGTGAATCTCAGAATTTGTTACATTCCCTTTAGTACCCAGATGAGGTGTTTGGGTTTGAAAGCATGTCTGTGAGTGTTACTGCCTAATGGGGTGTCTTTTTCTTTATGCGCACCAAAAGGAAAATGATGAATTTGTGAAAGAGAAGAGCTTCCTTCTTACTTGAAACTAAGACCTTTTCATATTCCCATCTATTTGAAGACACTTCTATGCTGCCAGAGTAGAATAGATAAAAAACAGGATACGTACTTGGTCCCCATAACAGTAATTGTGTAGCCATGTGGACTACCACATGGCTAACCTACAAAATACAATTCCACGCCTGGATTCTGCAGCCAGTAAAGGGCTCTGATGCCCCAGTCTTTAGATGTCTTTAACAGATGGGTTTGAAATGTGGATGCAGATCTATCACTCAGTCAATGCTTCAGATCAACCCCATGTTTAGGTTGGATCTCTTTATAAATTGGCACTTGTAAAACTGGAAGAATGGTATGAAGGAAGGAGAAGCAATGAAAACATGAACTGCTGAGGAAAAAAGCATCTGCTCCCAAACCACTATTTTTTACTACCTGACACACTTCTTTATTAGTGATGATGTTGCAGCTTTTTTTGACTCCTGGAAATAGAAAGAGCAGCAGCAGTGTCCAGCACTCAGGTTAATGTGCCAGCTATGCCTGAATGGTGCACGTTATAAGTACGCATTTAAGGTCCTTTTCTGCATACCACAGCTAAATAACAGCCAGCTCTGTCTCAGTGTTCTTCCACTACTGCATTTATGGAGTAGCCTGTAGTAGGGGAAGGCTGCAAGGAGGGCTAGAAACTGCACTGCTGATGAGAGCAGCAGATGTCATTGCACTTTACTCCATTTCTGCTGCAGCTGGTTATAAATTCAGGTGGGAGATACCAAAAAGCCAAAGAAGTAAAACTCTCTTTTGTTCATTGTCTTGTCCAGGACTTGACAAGTTCATATCATCGGGCTTTGCATGATGGTAGCTTTGTCACTTGTTGTTTCACTGAAACTTTGCTCTCTTTCAGGTGCCAGGAGACAATGAGAAGCACTGGAAGCCAGTGTTAGTGGTCTTGACAGAGAAAGACCTCTTAATATATGAGAGCATGCCACGGATGAAAGAAGCTTGGTTCAGCCCTCTGCATACCTACCCCCTGCTAGCCACCAGGTACCTGTGCTTTTTTATTATGGCCCCTTCAAGAGTGGTGGGAACAGCTGAGTCAGCCGGGAACAGGTATAGCTGGTGCATAGCTATATATCACACTAGAAATGTCATGGTTTGAGAAGCAGATTCTTCTTCAGTAGGCTGATGTGCTCACCTGAACTCCTCTCTTCTCCTCCGTTTCAAGTTCTGGCCAAGGCTAATGGCCAGAAGCATACCAGATGGATTATGGACGCAGCCATTTGGCCTGGATCCAGAGGCAGGAGCACTGAAAAAGCCAAAAGCTCGATCTCCTGAGATTTCTATCTCAGTGTGCAGACCTGAGGGCTTGGCAGAGGCCCTCAGATTTTCAGCTGCTCCTCCAGGCTGAAAAAAGTGAAATTGTTGCCCTGAGTTGGATGTGCTGGTGTGGCAGTTCTGCACCACTGGTTTGGGGCTTTCGGAGGATTGCACATGTGATGGACACACTTAATTTCACCATGGCTTCTGTTCCTGCTCTAGCAAATGAATTCCTGGCTTTTTTAGCTGAAAATGGTGAGCTTAGAAGACACATTCTTGAATCTAGGTTGGAAATAACCATCTGCATTATTTTGAATGTATCCATCAACACTAATTCAGAGAGAGCTTTCCTGTGGTTGTCTTTGTGCAGTGGAAACTGTCTGTGCTTCTTGATGTGAATCTTAATCACGTTTCTCTGCCAGTATGGTCAAAGGGCTTGAGAAAGAGCTGCTGTTCCATTGTTTTGGCCTTGCTACAGGCCTCTATTATACCGTTTTCAATGAGTTCTCATTCAGAAGGGCTGGTTGCACATGGGCAAAAGCAGTGGGGCTCTTACTGCACTCTCATTAGTTAATTTTTGTTCTCAGTGTTTTAGTTCTCTCCCCAAATGAACTGAGGCTTTGCTGCTAAATCAGTATATTAAAAAAAAAAAGTCAGTGAATTACACTGATGTTTGTTTTGTGCCAGTCTACCTACCCATGATGGAGTTTTCAGACTTTCTGGGAAGCCAGCTTCTGACTCATTCTTTGTTACCATAACATGAGGCGAGAGCCCCAAGCTTTGTAGCTTGCAGCCTGCCGTGCAGTGTGGTGGTGAAGGTTGACAATTCCAGGTGACAATTCCCAGTGAAAACTGGGTAAGGTGTTGGAGCCAGAGGCTGCATCCAGGTGTGTCACTAAGCCTTAAGAGTTTGTGAAGCAAGAGCACCCCAGCAGAAGGTGATGCGTCTCCTCCCCCCTGCTTCGGGGTGTCGTTTGTACATGGACCTGAGTCCTTGTCCTTAAAGTGACTGGAGATCCTGCAGCACACCCTTCTCCTTCCTGTCCACACGTCGTCACGTGTAAAGACAGCACTTTGGTGGGCATCGCCAGCCCCCATCATCAGTGACCACCAATTTACTGCATCAAACAGTCTTAAGTCCTTGTCTTGGAGGGCCTGTTACTTAATTACTTTTTCTCAGGAGTTCAGATCTGATAGCAGACCAGTTTGCCTTGGGTGGGGATAGTCATCTCCCTGTCTGATGGGATTCTCGTATGAGTGGAGGAGCATCAGCCTTCAGGCTGGAGGGGAATGAGAAGTTGCTCAGCACAGGTGTCAGGCTGCTGAAGGGTCTTTACAGACTGGGAAAGTGGTCTGTAAGAAAGGCAGGATGTGGTTCAGAAAGGACAAGTGCAAAGTTCAGTGCTGGGGAATAATCAGCTGCGCTGGTTTGGGGTGGAGAATGAGTGACAAGGTAGTTGTTCTGCCAGGAAGCACCTGGAAAATACAGAAAATCATCTTGGGTTATAGCAGAAGTGTTGTGTGTTAGGCAGGTGTAGTAATCCTACCTAACTACAGAGCATGAGTAAAGCCTCAGGTGATACACCACCTTCATGTGAGGCATTGCACTTCCAAAAAGATGCCATTTAACTGTGGAAGGTCTAGAAGAAAGCAATGCAAATGTAAGACCTAGAAAGCACTGTCAGTAGGGTAATACTTAAGAAACCTTAGTTATTTAATCTAGAGAAGTCCATGGAAAACACATCAGTAGTTTTCAAGTATGAAGATGAGACACGAGGAGGACAAGGGAGCATGTTCTCCAGGTCCCTGCTGGATAGGGGAGATTTGGGGTAGGTCCTGGGAAAAACTTGGTGTGTGGGTGAGGTACTGGATTAGATTCTCTAGGAAAGGTGTGCGATCCTTATCACTGGGGACTTTGAAGGACAGGTGACACTGTAACCTTCAGGAGTGTGTCGGCACAGTTAGCCCTGCGCTGGGAAGCGGGATGCGCCGGGTGACCTCCTGAGAACCATTCCAGCCCCATCTCTGTGATTTCTTACTAATATAGCTGTGAATTTAACACTCAGGTAAAAAGACAGCAGATATAGAGAATGTGACATTCAGAATGGAGTCGCAATCTGATAAATACATATAAATACATGAATCCCCAAGGTGAGCAGATTACATAAACTGACAGATTCCCTAAATCATTACACCTACTGTTTTGGGTGATTTTGATTAAAACCCTGCAGGATCCTGGTTTTATGACCTGTCACACTGAGTACAGTTATAACAAAAAAATACACAGGCTTTGCTGTTGGTATTGACTGCTGTGTTCATTCTCAGTCAGTGATTACCTTCCTCGTGACGGGTTTTTTAATCCCCTCTGTGCATTGATCAGTGCAATTTAGAACTTTTCACCTGGAAAGTTTGCAGACCACATGTTGTAATCTTGGCTGCTCCCATCTTTCAGATTTTTATGAGTCCTTGGGAAAACATTTTTGCTTAGCTAATGCATATTTGAAAAGCTGCTGAAACTGGAAAACTTCAGTGCCAGATACTGTATGGAGTCATGCTTAATCTACCCAAGACATAATGAGCAGAGAAAATTGGAAAGTGGTAGAAGGATTGCAATCTTCTTACAGTATTTTAACAGCAGAATTTCAACATGCCCTTTTTGTTTGTTGATAAGTTTGCCTTCAACCTAGGGGTGCTATTAAGACCTAAAAATACTTTCCAGTCAGTCTTTCCCAGCTTTGTGTGGAATATAAGTAATAGCTCAAATAAAACTGAGATCAGGAGATTTAAGTTGTTCCTTTAAATCTCTGCACCAGGAGGCACAGCAGCTGGCTCATAGCCCTGACTCCAAGGACCTTTTTGTCATAATCTCTCTTTCAGTGTTTCCTTATACCTGAATAACAGTGCCTCCCTCCAGTATGGGAATGGGGCTTAAGTAATTACATCTTAAATGTTTGCAATCAAATTCCGTTATCTATCATAGCCAGATATGAAATGAAAGGAAAAAAAAAAAAGCAGCCCATGTTGGACTCTGATTAAAGATCAGGAAAGTAGCTTTTGTGTAAACCTGAGGTCTGTAACCACAAAGTATTAAAGCAGTTTGATAGTTAATGCCATGGAAATTTGGGGAAGGAGTTTGGGCACCGATTAGCCATCTGTGCAAGTGGGCAGAGGGGCAGGTGGAGAGCACTGGAGTCCCCAAGCACCCGAGGGAATGTGCATGAGGTGCCGTGCAAGCTGTGCAAGTTCTCTGCTCATCTTCCCGGGGCAGTGAGAGTGGTTGTGGCTCCCTCCATGCAGAACTCGGATGAACTGAGAGCATGTGCATAGGTTTCCAAAGAGTACAGCCATTCCAGAGCAGATTTCAAATGCTAAGTCAGGGTAAGGAGTGGTTTCCAAGGTAAGAGAGGTCAGATGATAGTGGCTTTCTACTAGGTAGAGCTGCATGACTGTTGATGCACTTGTATCATGGTCTCTTCTGAGATAAATCTCAAATGAGCAGCTGAATGCTTGCTTTGAATGTCAGTGCTGTTTTCACTGTCCTTTTTGAAGAGGCCATTAGATTTTGCTGTTGCGGTAAATGGTTGAAACTCTTTTCATAGCATTAGGATGAGAAGCAGGTCCCAGTGCATCTCAGCCAGCACCAGCACTTCAGGTTGGACTGCACCCATCTTACTATCACACCTTTGCAAAGACTAATGCTAAAACAGTCCCCAAAACATAGAGAGACAAGGGAGAAATTCGAGAAGATTAGAAGTGCCTCCCTGGCTCTCTGGAGCATCCCAAGAGTTGCATTTTACAGCCACTGCCTGTTACGTACGCGCTGTGCAAACAGGCTCGATGGTGACCAACCTTCTCCTGCCCTCTCGCGGCTCTGGCTGCTCCAGGGAAGCATGCTCAGGCTCCAGCGTGCTCACAGGCATCTCTGAAACCTCCACGGAGCCCAGTAACCTTCAGGGGTTGTGGGTGAATATTACCAGAGCCAGCCCTGGGGTGCCTTTTCGGCTCTGGGGTGCAGCATGCACCACGAACACATCCTAGGCTGCGGTCAAAGCGACGGGGAGGCGGGGGTGAGGGGAAGCTGTCTGTGAAGTTTCTAAGACTATTTTTTTGCCTCTCAAGGTATTCTTGTGGTCTTTAGCATAAAACATCTTTTATGTAAATGAAACAGCTCACATGAATGCAGCTTTATTAAAGCTTGGGAATCCTTTGACCTGTACCCAAATACATTAGTACTGACAGCTGGTACATAAACACTATCAAATGTTCCCCTGCATGTTTGTCTAGTTCATATTTAACTGCATGATTTTCCAAAGCACAATCTGGAGTTGTATGATAGAAAAGGATTTTAAAGGGAGACTGAATTTTTAATCATGAGGGTATAAAGGAAATGAGAAGGCAGGCAAGAAACAATGTTCATGTTGCATGTGTCACATACTTTAATTTGTAAAGTACATCTTCATTCTATTTATATGCTGAAAAACCTACAGTGCCAGTGCTATGGATAAAGCATAAAGATGTAGGGGAGTGGGGGTTGGATTTGAAAGGAAATAAAACATTGGAACCATCTGTCTGTCACACGTTCAGTATCACAAATGTTAGAAAACAATTTTTAGCACAGCTGATGAGCACTGCATAAAGGAGAAGGGATGACCCAGGGAAAAGCTGGAATAGCTTTATTTTTACGGACAAACTTGATGTGATTTTCCAGGCTGCTTTCCCACAGTCGCCCCAGTAGCAGAAGGCAGCATGAGAGCGGTGGCCTTGACTGGCCAGGGACAGGCAGCAGCAGAAGTCACTGGAGATTTCAGTTCCCAGTCTCCTGCCTTAATTATCAAGATGCAGCTTCCCCTCAAAGTTTGCACTTCCCAATGCCAAATGAAAGTGAATTAATGTTTTTGGGCTGTTTGTTTGCCGCTGACTCCCCAGCTGCAAGATCTGCCCAGGGTGCAGTTAGGAGACCTTGAGTATCAAAGCTGAGTGGGGCATTGACACAGCCCTTCTAGAGGCAAAAAAAGCATTTGGGGAGGGTGGTGGTGCCTCTTTGGAAGAGGCTTTCCTGCCCAGACATGGGGCAGAGCAGCTCTGACCAGGATACTCTGCATCTTGCCTCCCGAGACCTCCTGGGACTATGAAATCAAGGCAGATGCTTAAAATCCAAAGAAAGTTACCACAAACCTGAGCATGAACAAATCTTGCAAACCTTCTAGCGGGGTATGAAAGAGGGATGCATCTGTTCGGCACAATGTGCATCCCAAATGTCAGCATGGAATGCCAGGGAATTGGGGAAAATTTCAGATACCCTATGGTTAGTGGTTTAATAACTGAAAAGCTAAAGTTATGCTTTTTCTTTCCTTTCTGCTTTTTTTCTCTATTAAATAAACATCTCTGATGGCATACTTCTACAGTGTCAGCTAACAGGCAACTATTCTTTCAGATGCAAAACAATAATTTGAGGGTGAATTAGCATTCAGTAGATGATTAGTATAATCTAATGTTTTATCCTTCAGCACAAGTATTCTACTACCATGCTACATACTTACTCTATAGTCTCATATGAAGTATATTGTTTGGCTATAGAAGGGGAAACAGGAGACACAAGACAGAAATAAGGTTTTCAGAAGAATTTCATTTTGTGACTCCCTCTGAGGGTTAGTGTCTGGATCTCAAAGGGTGATGAGCTCCTCTGGCTTATTCTTTTCAGCTGAATCAGTGTCATGTCCCTGAGTGAATTCTGTATTCACTGTCCACACTTCTGCAGGGAAAAAAAAACACCAAAAGGGCAGTCTCAAAGAAGAATTAAATATTATGAGGTGCTGATTTTCTCACTCAAAAATATTCCCTGCAATTAGTGTTTGCCCAGATGAACAAACCTTTTTTGGTCACAGGAGATCAGCTGTTGATGCCAGGCAAAAAAATGTTAATTGCAGCAAAATGTGAAAGAATTTCAGATTACAAGTAGCTGCAACATTTTGCATTTTACAGGTTCCTTATGGGAAAAGTATGCACAAGACAGTACTTCGGCATCTGCATATTTTACAGAACTTCTTACTTTATCCGACAGCATTTACCATTGAGTTTGTCTGCAGATGTTTAAGCTTTATGGCAAATGCTGCTTGACAGTGAAAGTTGAATTCAGCTGCCTTATCTGAGCAAGCACTTGTAGCTGTGGACCAAATGCCATGACCACAGACCAGTCAGTGATTTCCCTCACTTCCTCATCCAAATGGGTGTTTTGTACAATTCATTAGGAAATTTTAAGACATCCCCATCATCACCTGCATGTCTGGCTGCTGCTGTACTCGCCCCCTTGGACCGTCACTCTTCTGAGTGTCACTAGGAGTCACTTTAGGCTCAAATACAGAGATGCCTGTTCTCATGCTCTGAACCACGGGTGTTTAGGAAAGGATAAAGCAGAGCTGTGCTCGGGTAGGGATTTTGGCACAGTGTGCTCTGTCAGCGTGATAATCCAATGATGTGTTTTCAATTGCAGGTTGGTCCATTCTGGCCCAGGAAAAGGCTCACCGCAGTCAGGGGTGGATTTGTCTTTTGCAACCCGTACTGGTACAAGGCAAGGGATTGAAACCCATCTGTTCAGGACAGAGACTAGCCGAGACCTCTCACTGTGGACGAGGAGCGTAGTGCAGGGCTGCCACAATTCTGCGGAGCTCATCACGGAAATCACCACATGTGAGTAACGTCTGCGGCACTGCATCTCCACACCTCCTCGTGACACTCATGGGTAGCTCAGGCTCCTTCTGCTAGAGGTGATTCATTTAAAAAAATGTGCATATTTAAGACTCTGTGTTTAAAATATTGTCCCCTTGGTTTCTAAGCCAGTCCCAGCTGGTGTGGTACCTGTGGCCTGCGACACAGTCACTGTCTTTCTGACTTTTGGTCTTGTTTTCGGCATGTTGTTTCAGACACAAGTCTGTAGTCAGCCATATAGGGCTGAGTGTCACAGAGTAGTGATCGTCAGAGGTTTGTCCAGAAACCCACAGAAAAGAGCATTTTTCTGAGATTGAGGAGACTCCTGAGAGCCTGGCGGGAGTTTCTCCTGCAGAGGGAGGAGGCAGAGGAGGAGCGGCACGTTCACAAGTGTGAATTGGTCATTTATTCACCCAGCTCTGCACACTTGAGAAGACTAAAAAAAATACAAACCAGTCTAACAACAGCCACATTTTGATGGCTAGTCATTTCCCTCCCTGAGCATCAGGGTGTCATTCTTAGCACTTCTGTACATGCAAAATCGACTGGAATGAAAGTGATCGGCTGCAGATGCTCTGGGGTGATGCCCGGTTCGGTGAGGTAGCTGCTAGCCTGGGGAGGCTTTGAGGCTGTGCCCCTGGGATTTGGGAGTCCTTCCCCCGCTAGGCCTACGGTCGGTGGGGCTGTTAAAGTTGAACGTTGTCTCCGCTCGTTGCCTAAAAACGTGAGAGCAAGAGCCAAAGCACAAATCCGCTCCGTGACCAAGGGCAGCTCCGATTTCCTGAAGCCATCAGGTGCTGCGGAGCTCAGGGACGCCTGGCCGTGGCCTGCCAGGCCCCGTGCCCCGCAGGGAGCTTGGGCGGCTTTGCGAGGGCCTCTGGTGTGGAAACCAGCCGGACTGTTCGGTGGGGACCACCTCGAGGGCATGTCCATCTCCTCGGCCCAGTGACATGGGTGCCTTTCTTTCCAAAAGAGGAGGAGGGCATCAGCCCCTTCGTTTATCACGGTGCTTTTATCCCAGTGCCAAGGACCCTTCTTGGCAGAACTGTTCAGGGGAAAGTAGTGGAACAGAGAATTTGGGATGTGAACACCTGAACTCTTCATTTTTTAATTTGGATCACGGCCTACGTTTCTGAGCTGAGGGGAAGATGCAGGCTTTCTGCTTGCAGTAGCTATTATATACAATTATCATCTGGGCCCTTTTTCAATTACCACGACACTAATGAGGACTCAGGAGTGTCTTCATCTTTGTCAAAATACTTTAGGGAAACCCTTTACAGCTTCTAATTTTCTCGTGTGTTGTGCGCCGCATTTATTGATTCTGGCTATGTCTGTCAGACATAAGGAGAAGAGTAGCTGTGACTTTGTCAAGGTTTGGAAGGAGGAAATGCCAGCCTGAGCCTTCTTAAACTTCAGCAGATTGTTTTTGTGTCAGCATGTAGATGTATGCTGCAACATGAAGAATGCAGCGAATAACCGAAAGGCCTGACACCACTACTGCTACTGCCGAGCACAATTTTAGTCTGTGTGTTTACACCGTAACTAACCTTGCTTGGACCTTGCACAACAGAAAGATTTCTGTTGTTTTCCCAAATCTGCAGGTTTACAGTTAGAGCATGATTAGCCCAGTTTTAGGAAAGGTTAGTTTCCGCAAGTAGTGTTGAGATCGAATGTAAAATGCAGATATCTGCAGCCAAATAGAATTTATTGCTTTTAAGAACATTACAGACTAAATTTTGTTTCCTTCTTCAGCTTGCACATATAAAAGCCAGGAGTGCCGTTTGACCATCCATTATGAACATGGATTCTCTCTTACAACTGAACCGCAAGATGGTGCCTTCTCTAAGACAATTGCACAATATCCTTACGAAAAACTGAAAATGTCCTCAGATGATGGGATAAGGATGCTTTATTTAGACTTTGGAGGAAAGGATGGAGAAATTGTAAGTACTGTGTTCCTTCAGGCTGTGGGGGTGGAGAAGCACTAATGGAAGTTGGACTAGATGATCGTTGTAGGTCTCTTCCTACTACATATTCTATTCTGTTCTAAACAGCTGGCCAGTACCAGGTTCCAGTACCAGTATTTAGACACTGTTTTCTAGTGCAGCATGACAATCTGGCTTTAGAAGGAAATACACTAAAAAGAGAGAGAAAATGGTAAAACCATGCAAGGAGGGATGAAAGATTTCTTACATTTAAGAACAAATTGTATCTCTAAATAGCCAGATGTTAGAATTTTGGTATGTAACCATTTAACTTTTTAAATGATTGTGGGTGGAAGAACTTAAGAATAAGATATTATTAATTCCAATGTACACATAGGGACTTTGTTATGACAACAAGCTACGTTTTATTTTTGAACATCTAGTTGCTGAAAAAAATTGAAGACTACAGATGTAGTGCAAACTGTCTGCTTAGGCCTCTAAGTTAGCTGTCACAATGCCTAAAAATAAGGTGCTTATTCCTACAAGCAGTTTAGATACCATAAATTATGCATGTAAACATGGTCTTTCCTGCCAAATTTTTTCAGCAGTTCCTGAGCACGTTGGGTGCCTAATCACATCACCTTTGATAATATATACTCTGTGAACTGCTTATTGTCGGGCTTTCAGAAGGGAATTTGTTACTAGCTCTCAATAAAGTCGACTGGTGGAAAGGCAAATCTGGTTCGTTTAGATGTGAACCTACTGTTGAACCTGCTGGTCAGACTGACAAGTCTGTCATGCTTAGCAAGCATGTGGTGAGATCATCTGAACTGTGACTATGGAAAAAAAAGTCTCAGTTCAGTCTCGCTGCCAGCTGTGTGAACAGAGGAGCAACCATGCAGCATCAGCTGAAAGTGCAGTATCCTGGCTTCAGCTATGACCAACAGCAGATGCACTGGGTATTGGACATAGACCATCTGACCACCATCCCTGGTCAGAAACAGAGCCTGAAAAGATGGAGGGGTTGAACCTCTTGGGAAACTGCTTGCAGCATCTGACTCCATTTTCTGCTGCTTACCCAGGTGGATGCAAGCCCAGAGGCACCAGGATCCCATCTGCTCTCAAGATGCTTATTACTTACTTTCAGTAACCTAAATATTTGCAGCTGTATGCAAAGGAAAGACAGTATGTTGTAATAAAGGCTTGTTATTAATAGAAGCCTGTTCAAAATACCAGGCAGCAGTTAATCAAGTACTCCATAAATGATTGCTTATTTGAGCTGTAATCTAATAATTCTCAACTTGGCTTCTTTCTGTACTTTTCAGCAACTGGACCTTCATTCCTGTCCAAAACCAATTGTGTTCATCATTCATTCCTTCCTGTCAGCAAAGATTACAAGACTTGGCTTGGTGGCATAAGTGGGATACATCTGTTTCTTCAAAGAAGGACAAAGCGACCATGCTAATCTGAAGTACAGTCAACAGCAGCAGCCCATACCAGCTAGCAGCATACACCAGCTTGGGGTTCAGTACTGGGTGTTGGTCATTTCTGCAGTCTTCCAAGGCCCAGGTTTCATTTTGATCAGCTAAAGAGGTGACATGACAAGGAAAACAGTGGATTTCATTGTAAATAACGGGATTTTAAAATCCCATATGAGACAGTAAAAGCGTGTAGTACCATACATGTAAATGTTTCAGAATCATAAATTGTGCCTATTTCAATGTACTTGTTTATATAGAATAAGTAAAGGGCTAAGCAGACAAGAGCGGGTGTTGGTTGTGATGCAAGCTTAAAGTTGTTTGAGTAGAGGTTCTCCAGACAAGATTGTCCCACCACCCAAACGTAAAATATTTTTTCTGTTCTAACCTGTGCACCGCTTACAGAAGATTTTTCTCTTGGAGTGCTGTCAGAACCTCTTGCTTGAATACCCAGGAGAGCATGCCAATATGCACCTTTGAGTCAGATGCTCTAAAGCAATAGAGCTGTGGTCAGTGAACAGCCGGAGGGTCCCTGCTGAGTGGCACTTTCAAGTTAAATGATGAAGACATCTTGTGTACATTCCTAGCGATGGACCCAAAGCAAGACTAGCTATAGCGATGTATTGGGAGCTGGCTGTCAGTGGGGCGTAGGTAGGAGTGTCCTTTGTTACTGAACACACAGGATGTATTTTTACAGTGACTTCCCAGAATGGCTTAATGAGTTTCAACTAACCAAGATCCCCAGCTCAGGTAAAAGTTACCTAAATCCATGCTGAAGCATGACCTAAGCTTGTGCCAGCACATTTCCACAGTGGTTTTCCAACAGAAAGCCATGCTGAGCTTCCTGTCCTCCTACCCCTACGGTGTCACCCCCTCAGCTCTGACGAGGCTGGTTATGTGGTCTTCATAGAACAAATGTGGGGAAGGAGGAAGACTTGATTTTTTGAGAGTTTTCTAGATTAGATCAGAAAAATTATTCAAGAAGCTCCACAACAGTGAGGAAACACACCAGGGCAGGAACACGAGCTGCACTGCCAGAAAAGCCTTAATACGGAACTGCTCCTGTGAGCATGACTCGGCAAGTTCAGCTTTATTCCTTACTGGTGAAACACAAGACGTTCACCTCTGTACCCATAACTTACTAGTTCCTGTTTTGCACCACAGCTTACCGTTTTAAGTCAAAACATGCGAATCACTGAGTTTCAGCCTTGTTCACAGTTACATTGGGTGCAAAGCAGGCAGGAACACTGACCTTCATCGTCAGAGATGATGCACACAGCTTGCACCTGGAACTACTAAATTGTCTTAATGTGGTCAGGTGGGAACAGGGAACTACTAAATTGTCTTAATGTGGTCAGGTGGGAACAGGGAACTACTAAATTGTCTTAATGTGGTCAGGTGGGAACAGGGAACTACTAAATTGGCTTAACGTGGTCAGGTTGGGAAGCAGAACAGGGATGGTATTTATGTTGCTCTTACTTTGCAAACAGAACTGCTTCATATAGGGGTGAGATTTTGTTTGCTTTTAGACTTTTGCCCTAAATTCATACTTTGAAGGACAGGAACTGTACAGGAAGTAATAAATCCAAAGCTTGTGGAAGTTCACTTGTCATATTACAACACTTCTTTTATTCTTGGGAAAGCACATTAAGTTTCAACTTAGCATCACTTAGCTGGCAAAGAGGAAAATTAAAAACACAGTTTGGTTCCATGTTGCTTTTAAGCTACGTCTTGAAATTTAAGTGTAAGTCATGCTGTTTATTCACAGTATAGGAATTAATTTGTGGTGGTTTCTATAGCTATCTTAATCATCGAAACTAATTAAAAAATTAAGATGATGGGCTGAATCCACAAATACAGAAAACGATCATTGAAGAACAGCTAAATTGCCATTTGGAAGAGCAGCCCCACCAGTCAAGAGCAAGCCTGGGAGGGGAGTCACCCAGCTGTGAACTTTGTTTTTACTGTCATGGTACTTGCACTTAAAAATTAATTCCTCGTGTAAATTCACAAGGTAGGAGATAACATGTTACATAACTCTCCAATAATTTCCAAATGGACTTTTCTCATTTAGCAACCACTGCCGTTCACTTAACTTTCTGTGGCAGTTACTTGGGTGTCCTTTGGCTTGGAAGCTTCTAGGAGAACGTCTTCTGAGAAGCTGAGAGCAGTCGGTACGCTGGGGGGACTGGGTCTTTGAGTATGGACTCACATCACATCGTCAAGTAAACAGTTGTGTGAAGTTTTTAAAAAGCGATTCAGGACATTTTTATTGCTGTTCCAAAGTATAACTTAAAAATTTGGACACAGGCTCCTATAAAAGTTCCAGAGATTGAAGTGAAAACTTGCATACAGTGGGGTAGGTTAAATACATATGTAAACTATACTGCACTATTTCCTTGTTCCTTTAACACTTACAAATCACTGGAATGTTATACCTAACATGTATGTGCATTGTAAATATTACAAATTCCTATATTAGTACCAACAATTAAATGACACAATATGTAATCTAAGGTGCTCAGTACTATATGAAGTATAAATGAATAACTAAACAGTTTGCAAAGAAAATTCATATTATATATATTTATAGAAAAAATAATGACAATTACAGATGCTATTTCTTCATTTTCAGATTTTGGACTGATTCATATTTGGATGGGATAGACAAATGAAATATGAACCTACTCCACATTTATAAGAGTATAGTGAATATTTATATTTTAGAGGAAAAGAATATATTTAATAAAGTCATTTATTGGATTTTTGTGAGGTGAGGTTACTTTGTACCCAAACAAGCTGTTGCAAAGGCTGTCCTTTGGTTTTGGGCTGGGGAAAATTACACTTTAAACCTCAGTCATTCTGTTAAAAATTCAGTTACTTGAGAGAACTATTCATCGTATTGATGGAATGACTTTTAAAAATTTAAAATAAAAAAAAAGTATTAATGTACTGTCAATGGTGCATTGGTGCTTTCTATCAAGTAAGCTTGGTGTTCATGTGATAGTGGCACTGTTGATGACAGGCTGAAAGCATAAGTATGCAGCATTTTTTTTTTTGCTGCTGGCATTTACTGAAAGGCCAGAAGGATGTTCTGGGCAAGGTCGCTCAGACTCACCTGCTGAAGTTACAGTGCTTTCTCTCTTGCTTATACTTAACTGGGTGGTTATAGAAGTCATAAAAAAAAAAAAAGCAGAAATTTCTGCTCGAGCTTCTGCATTCAGGGAGTGAGGCCAACATGTGCCTTGCTTATCTTATGAATGGTTATGGAAAAAAAGATGGTTTTCTTCCCTTCTACTTTAATTCTTAACTTGGTGGCCCAAATAGAAAAGCTAACTGTGGGAATTTAAGCCTCTTCTTTCAGTCTGATCTGAGGTATGGCAGACCAGCTGCATGGAAACCCTAAAAAGGGATATTCCTGAGTTCCACTCTTTTCACAAAATACTGACTGTAAATGGAACGGTCTGATCAGAAAGTTTGTATAGCAGCTTCACCATTAAAAAGACTTGGATACATATTGGAACATACATGTTATTGGAAAAATGTGATACAAGGTGTTTGTTAAAAAAAAAAATAAAAGAAAATAAAGCTGATCTGAGTGTGTTCAGGGAAACATACTGTGTTTCCTAAGAGTCTTGCTCTTTAAATGGAACTAGCATCTCTTAAGGTACTTTATAAATTGAAACACAACTCTTTATGTGCTACCGAGTAAATCGCTACCACGAACATCATTAGAATTGGTCATTTCCAAATAACAAAACAAGTGCCTTGTCCTTCTGCGGAAGGTAAGTGTTGTTTCTTGCCACAGGACATGGAGGCACACTCCATCCAGCTCTTCACATTCGGAAGCACAGCTGATTTGAAGTAAAGGTTGATCTGATTTCCATCTGCAAGACTTCTCAGTGTCCTCTTACCCATGTTTAAAGGTTAATTGGAGCTTCTTCAGTTTCAGTGGAAGCAGAATCAGGGCCTAAACAAATGATGTGCCCCAGATTGTTATACTATCATTGATTGGTAAATTTATCTTATTTTTCGTAAGAGTCAAACTGGTAGGTTTATAACTAGCTGTTTACTGGGACTATTTACTATATATAGAGACTATTACTATAGTATGTATTATATATTACTATATATATACACACACTATTACTGTATATAATATTACTATAAAGTAATTGGGAATTGTATCTAAAATGGACACTTCTGAATTCAGTGGTGACTTTGATTTTAAAGAGCAGATAATAATATACTAGCAAAATTTCGAGAAACTCAGCCTGCTTGATATAAGCGAACCCCTAGGTTAACCAGGGCAAAAGTTTAGTTTAAAAGCGTGAGGGAAAAACATTAAATATTTAAGTAACAAAGATAACAACCTCTTGTGAACATACCAGCTACTTTTTCCACAAAGGATTAGCTTTTCAGTTTGTCTCCTTTGTCAGAATTTCTGTGCTTGAATTAGAGGCATTAGAAAACAAATCCCCAGGGAGAACTGTGAATATGGAAAAGGGAGTTTGTGAATTTGGAAAAGCATTTGTACCCAAGTTAAGTTCTGTGGTAGCCCAGTGATATTCATCATGCAATTGCTGTAATATTACAAGTAATCATATCACCAAGTAATCGCAACCACATCAGTGTTGTCTTACCCAATCTTGTATAAGCATATAACATGGATTATGGGCAAACCATAACTGTATATTGGTCAATATGACTTATATCCTGACTTCTAAAAAACATGAAAGCAACCGCCCAAAGTATGCATAGGGCTGACTGGATTTTGGGTGCAGCACCCACAAACAAGAAAATAATTTGAAATTCAGAGGCAAAGGGTGACGTTACATTCTGTATCATGTAAGTTACAACATGTTATGTGAGCTGTGGGAACTCTTAGTGTGGGGTTTTTGAACTACGACACGTGTAAGATGATTTGGTTTCGTGCTGTAAGGGTAGACCAGGTCAAATTATTTTGCATGCTTTTTTGTAGGTTAAGAGCATGGACAAGGACAGTTATCGCAGCTCAAATGGGGCACAGTGTTAAGCCATGATAATAAACTAGCTATCACTTACCCTAAAAAACCCTGCAACGTAGTAACAAAGAGCAAATGAGACATGGGCAAGATTGTATTAGTTCAGCACTGGTAATCATGCAAACAAACAATACATCAAAATGTTTATGTTTCCCTGACTGCTTTCCTGCTGATTATTTCAGGCCAGCCTTTGAATCTACAGAATTAATTAAAACAATAACCACTGGGTTCTACTTGAAGTAAGATAGTTAGTATCTACATCCAGGGCTCACTATGGACACTATAGAGAGGTAAGGGAGGAATGAGAAAATAATAAAAAATAATTTTAAAAACCACCTTTTTACAGAAGTCCTTCTACAGATATGTGCAGATAGTTTTTCATCAAGAAAGCCCATTAAAGAGTATTAATTACTTTCCTGAAAGGGCTTTTCGTAGTTCATGGCAATTAGCCTCAAGTATTTAATGTAGAGTTTCTGTACTTTTGCTTATCAACTTCTGCATAATTTATTAACTACAAAGTTTTTGTAATCACAAGTTTATAACCCCCCCCAAAATTAAGGAGGAAATACAACTTTCAGTGGCTTGCTTTAGTATTTGGACGAAAGTATCAGCATTCAGGCTGAAAAGATGAGATTGTAATGGCTTTTCTCTCTCTATTTGGAAGTAGAGACTTTATTCAGTATTAAATGTTAATGAAGATTAATGTCTTGATTAATTTCTTGTTTTCTGTCTTGAATGCAAAGAAATGCGAACCATACACAGTAATAGATACATTGGAGCAATTTCGTGCATGCACTTATTAAATAATTATTTAAATATCTACCTTCATTGCATTTCTATTTCATCAGATCAGTAGAACCGGGATGCTATAGATGTGTGGCATTTTGCAGACAAATGTAATCCCGGTCCTAAGTAGTTGTGTTTGTCCTGGGCTAAGACGCCCATTGTACTCACTAGAGCCCATTGTCACAGTAAAACAGCTACACAGCTTTCCTACTGAGGCTCTGAGTGCAGTTAAAACAAGTACACACCCACACAGAAAAGGTCTTGTAGAGTTCAGGAGAACAATACACATTGGAACAAAGGAACAGAAGAGTTAAATGCAAGATCCTGTTAGCCGCGAAAAACCTCCTTAGGGCTTGGCTTTACACAAAATAGAATTAAGCAAAGAATAAATGTCACAAAGGAAGGCTCTTTAGAGAATGAGTAGATTTTACAGTATTAAGTCTAACCTACACATGGTTTCGTTCAATTACTTTTTTATAATATTACATTTTGTTTATATTAGTATTGCTTAATCCCTTTTTCTTCTAGGAGAATATAGCAAACAATAACACTGCATCTCTCTCAATTTTAATCATTAGCTTATATGATGAACAGGAAATCCTTACAGTGAAAGCTGTGAAATATATTTGTTTTGGTAGGAACTCCTCCTCTCAACATAATACTAACTTGAATAATTACACTTATACAAGGCAGGTACATGCCTGAGACTTAAGCAAACTGAGGTTGAATTTAGTATTTCACTATGCCCACAACTCAGGTAGAAATTATTCTTTCCATTACATTTTATCATAGCATGCCAGCTCTTTCACAGTTCTCACAATCACCGTTACTGCTATATTCTGATTTTCTCCTCCTCCATGAAAAGAAATCTCAGAACTCTGTTATGAATTGTTTCTAAGGAGTGTTACAGAGAGTACACATGAAATTATACCAGAAATGCAGCTTGTAAAACTGATCCTTTCTTTAATGGGACCTTGCATCAAGTTTCAAAAGACATGCTTTTTTTTTTTTTGTTATACTACAACACAGAGATAACTGTGACTCAAATTCTAATTATGTTTGCTTTCACCTGCAGAATAGGAACTGTTCTTACTT